AGTTCTCTAAGACCTACTCCAGGGTCGCTGTGGCCTGCGCACCCATGCCAAACTGCGCTCCTCTCCGAGTCCAGCACGATATGCCTTTGCGATCAGCCATCCAGGTTGTCTTGGGCTGGAAATTTGTTTTACTCTGTTTTTTGTGGGTTCTGCTGCTTTAGAATTTGTTTACAGCCATTTTTTATAGTTCTCTGGAGAGGTTTGGGGGAGAGCTCTAGCAAGTCACTGCTTTCCCTCCACCATCTTGGCTCTGCTTCAAGTAGCTTTTATAGTCTCTTCTTTCACCTTCATCAAGAGGCTTCTTAATCCTTCTTCACTTTCTGCCATCAGAGTGGTATCATCTATATATCTGAGATTGCTGTTATTTCTCCCAGCAACCTTAATTTCAGCTTTTAATTCATCTAGCCTGGCATTTCACATGATGTACTCGGCATATAAATTAAATTAATAATGAGACAACATCCACCCTTGTCATACTCCTTTCCCAATCTTAAACCAATCAGTTGTTCCATGTTCAATTCTAACTACTGCTTCCTGGACTGCATACAGGTTCCTCAGGAGATAAGTAAGATGATAAATAAGACAAGTACTCTCATCTCTTTGAGGACTTGACACATTTTGTTGTGATCCACACAGCTAAAGGGCTTTAGTGTACTCTGCAGAAGCAGATCTTTTTTCTGGAACTCCCTTGCTTTCTCCATAATCCAGCAAATGTTGACCATTTGGTCTATAGTTCCTCTGCTTCTTTGAAAACCAGCCTACTCTTCTGGTAATTCTCGGTTCACATATTGCCGAAGCCTAGCTTGCAGAATCTTACATATAACCTTGCTGGTATGTGAAATGAGAGCAATTCTTTGGTAATTTGACCATTCTTTGGCATTGCTCTTCTTTAGATGTGGCACATAAACTGATCTTTTCCAATCTAGTGGCTGTTGTTGTGTTTTCCAAATTTACTGGCATATTGAGCACAATACTTCAATAGCATCATCTTTTAGGGTTTTAAATAGTTCAACTGTAATTCTATCACCTCCACTAACCTTATTGTTAGCAAAGCTTCCTAAGGTCTACTTGACTTCATTCTCCAGGACTTTTAGCTCTAAATCAGTAACCACCATCATGAATCAGTGATGCTAAGATCTCTCCAGTACAGTTTTTTTTCCCGTGTGTGTGTGTGTGTGTGTGTGTGTGTGTGTGTTGTATTCTAGCCACCTCTTTTTAATCTCTTCAGCTTTTGTTAAATCCCTTCATTTTTGTCTTTTATCATGCCCATTTTTTGCAGGAAACTTTCCCTAGATATCACTAACTTCCTTGAAGAGATCTCGTCTTTCTCATTCTATTCTTTTCTTCTATTTCTTTGCACTGCTCTTTTTTTTATTTGTCAAATCTTTACTGGGTAAGTGGGGGAGGTTGGCAGGGTCCAGCTCAATCTTTCTTGGCAGCAGCCTTCCTCATGGCAGCTAGGACGTTGCTGAGCTCCTCTCTCTTCCTCTTAGCCGGGATGCGAGCTCCCACCCTTTTTTTGATGAACTTAAGGGCTCGCTTATCCTTAGAGACCTTTAACAATTCCATGGCCCACCTCTCATTAGGGGCAAATCCACACACCTCCGGGATCATATCTCTCACAAACTTAGTGTTTGGTGAAACGCCCACGGTGGCAGCAGTGTCACGGCTTGGAAACATTTTGGTAACTTTGTGGCCTTTGTTGAGGCCTACGACCATGCGGTATCACATGGCCATGGCTGTAGCGCTACTGTAGGCCCAATGGCAGCCACAGCAGAAGGAAGGAGAGCTGCACTGCTCTTTTAAGAAGACTTTATCTCCCTGCTATTCTCTGGAATTCTGCATTCCGTAGGATATAGCTTTCCCTTTTTCCTTTCCCTGACCTTCTCTTGTCAGCTATTTGTAAAGCCTCATCAGACAATCATTTTGCTTTTTTGCTCTTCTTTTTCTTTGGAATGTTTTTTGTTGCTGCCTCTGGTAAAATACTGCAAGCCTCTGACGATCGTTCTTTAGGCAGTTTTTCAAGTAAGAATTCCTGGGCAATAATGTATTGCTATGAATGTTATCAGCCTTGTCTAGCTAAAGAGCCTATAAATTATCATAAATACTTTCATCACACCATTTTTTCTTTTCTTTGAGATTAAAGTCTTAATCTGACTTTTTTCAACAAGAGATTGCTACAATGTACATATGACCCAAATACAATAATATAAATTAAATGGAAAAGAGGCAAAGACTACTTCTCGGTGTGTCTTTTTGTTCTTATCTATAAAATGAGGAAGTTAGATCAAATTATTTCTAAATTCTTTCCCAGATTTAAAATCATGAGTCTGTTTAAAGATCATATTTTTCTAACCTTAATTTAGAAAGTAGAAATGAACAGCCTGATGGGTGCTAGAGATTAACATGCTTTTCAAGCAAACAAACATTAACATCCTGAGGGCTGGGTCCAACATCCCAAATGTAATTAGAAAATATTTATATTAAGGAACACAGATTATCAAATTAAACTGAAAGTAAATTTATTCAACTGATAGAAAAATTAGGAAAAATTCATATTAAGGGTCCAAAAAGTTCAGAGCTAAGAGGTTGGTTGCCTAGTCTAACTTCATTTTAAAAATGAAGAAACAAACTTAGAGGCACATAAATGTTAAGAGTGAGTAACTAAAATTGTTACAAAAACAACCATAAGAAAATTAGACATTATTTTAAAGGGTAAATATGTATAATTTATAGCCTCAAAGTTATTGGGAATAACAATGCAAGAAATTTTTAAGTATTGGAAAGGTACATAATAGATACAAATGCATAATTCACAACTGTTTCATGGAATTAAGCTTAACTTTTCACAGATGTCTCTTTAATAAATTTGTATTTTAAATACAGTTTAAAGGCTGTTAATATACATTATGCATAGCACACATGTTCCTTCTCATCTTTTTCCTATCCCACCAGGCTGCAAGAAGCCTTTTCCAGTCCTCCTTAACCTTGTGCTTTCCCTCCAAGATTATCTCCAGTTTAGACTGTATATACCTTATAGGTACATAGTTGCTTACATGTTGCTTCCCTAATTACACTCCTTGAGAGTTGGGGTTGTCTTTTGCCTTTCTTTGTATCCCCAGTGCTCAGCACAGTGACTGGCACACAGCAGGTGCTTAATAAATGCTTATTGACTAACTAGATCTTCATAACAGTACGGTTATCAGAAATGCTTAAAGGTCCTAGTTATAAAGAATTCCACAGATACCAATTTCAGCTTAGTCTTTCTTACTCTTCTTCTGTCAGTGACATAGCTATAAACTTAAATATTTACAACACAAAACAGGATGGTGGATTAGATGGTGGAAATGCAAAATAATTTCTGGTAACAAAAATCATTTGTTAAATCCTAAAATGCTGTATAAGTGTGAATTATTTTTTCCACTCTTGAGAAACTAAAAGCTAATTTTACCAAATTAAAAAAGTGCAATCCAACTGTCACATTCTACTCCAAGGGGCTAGAAAGTTTCATCATATTAAACTGTATTTTTCCCTTTTTGATGTCCTATTGGCTATTCTATCTGTGTGTGTTAGAAAACAATTTTAAGTTACAGAAATTCATGTGGAATCTCAAGCTGGGTTTTGGTTTTCCTTATCCAGATGATTTCTTAATCATAATAATTCTACACCTCAGATTCTTTGCTTCAGAATAGATGTTTACCTGAGGGATAGGTAAAGCAAATGCTGGATACTAATAATGTAACAGACCTCCAAGGAAAAATTTACTAAGAAATTTTTCAACACAGTACAAAGGTGTTTTCAAGATGCAACTGTCAAGAACGGTTTTAGTAAATAGTGCTCTGAAAGCTATGAAATCAAAGTTATTAATAAAAATAGTTGACATACAGCAATCTGGTTTATAAAGTACTTTTGTGGTTTACAAAAGTTGTTTTCTATTATAAAGAAGATCGAAGCTATTTTGTTATATTTCTTTCTATCCCACCAGAAAACCTGGGATATAGTGAGATATGCACATACTAGACACTCAAAAATTTTGGTGAACAAGTAATTCACATAAGGGCTAGGTTTTTTTGCCTGTCATTAAACATGTTAATAAAATAGCAATAGGCTCAGAACATTTTTGAGAATTGTTTTCAAGAACTTTCAATTCATTTTAGAAGAATTTATATATATACATACATATGTACAAACACACACACACACACACACACACACGAGTGAGATAGATTAATTCCAAATCATTGCTAAAATATTCTTAAATCCAGTGTTCTGCGGCTCTCCAATGGGACAATATACTTGTCTGAGTAGTCTGAATCACTATACATACTTGAGAGTAAAACTACTCAAATAAATTATATCTCATCATTGGGGATGCTCCTCCCAATGATGCCAACTATAACCCATACAAGCTTGCCTGTCCTATAGGCTTCTTCTTGTTCATTCCTTCACAAAAGTTCACAACAGGGGTATCACCCAATGTGTTCAAGCTTTTCTTTGTTGTTGTTGGGTTTTTTTTGAGAATAAGAGAATACCAATAAAAATAACATGGTAACCTTTTCCTTTTATTATCACTTGACTAGCCCATCTTCTTTTGTAACTGTACATTTCTTTTCATCTATTATTTCGGTATATTTCTTTGCAAATCATTACTTATTACCTGTTGCAGCTTACTCATGTATTTCCTCACTGCCTTCTGAGGAATTAGTCTATAAAGTACACAAACTTGTGTAAACAATGCTTTTACTAAGAATTGAGGATGTTAATTTTTAATTATTTTAATGCTATAACATTCCATGGCTACAGTTATACAACACCATCAGTAGCATGTGGGTATTAAGATTGATCTTTGTTTCTAAAATTTTAATTATATTTTGTTTAAAAAATTAACATTTTTCCTGAATTCAGACTGACTTTTCCCCCAATTATGCCAGGTTAAACACACATGTAAATTTATACTAGCAAACAAAAAAGCAATTAATGTTTGTATATGTGATACTTACATTGACTTTGAAAGCTTGTACAGTGTTATCCAAGAGAAGGATATTGCAGACCACCTCTGTGTGTTGTCTGTCTCGTGCCAGCTCGGATGCTCGTACATTGTAAGTTCTGCCAGCTGGCAATCGGAAGCGTGCGGTCATTACTGTCCACACAGGGTCTTTGCAAATAAGAAAAAAAGATAGTACAGTAAAGAAAGATACAACATGACCCTTAAAAGACGTGTTAAATTTTACCTTAACAAATTCTAAGAAAATAAAAGAGGGCAAAGAATATTTGACTACATTTTATTTTAAACAATTTTTAAGTGGTCAAGACACTGTAAGGGATCTATGGATAGATTTTTTTGGGGGGGAGGGGTCTGTAAACTTGGATGGGAGAAAAATTCTATCTATAATTTCACTAACTTTTAATTTAAGGCTTTGTGAATTTGTTTTTATTTTCAGAACTATTTCAGTTTAATTAGTTTCCTTTGTAATTCCACGTGTATTATTTATGACTCCAAAAACATTAGTCTGAGAAATGGTGTATAGGGTCAATAACAGAAAAAAAAAAAGTAAAGACTCCTTATTTAAAAAGCAAACAGAATCCCAGTTTGACAATTTTCAGATAAGATTTCTAAAACTGCTTTTTTCTTTCATTTTTTACAATAATCATCATATTCTAGTAGAATATTTGACAAGGTAAGAGGTCTCACCTCTGTCTCATACAGTTATAACTTTTTGCTGTTTTGAGTGTTTATATCTTGAAACAGTCTATTATTTGCCCTACAGAACCAATTCAACAGAATTAAAATTGAGATATTATAACACGGGCAAAAGAAATCAAGAAAATGTTCAGAAATTACTATACATAAAAATAAATAAATAAAAATGAAATTACTATACATAGCTTCACATTAATAAATCTAGAAATCTAAAAGAAACGGTTATCTTAAAAAAAGTATAAAATACTGCAATAAACAAAACAAGAAATGGACAAGCTAAATAGCTTCATCACAACAGAGAAATTAGACAGCCCATTTAAAAGTTGCCCTACAGACAGAAAATACCTGTCCTAACTCCACAAAGAATCAGTTGGGGGGGAAAACATTATATCACACAGTTTTTGAAAAAAAATTAAAAGTATTATAGAAATGCAATTAATTTAAATAAACATTGAGAGCTCACTAGGCACAAACCACTGTGGTAGGTTATACAGATATGAAGACAAAAATGAAAATAGTCCCTCAGTCAATCAACAAGCATTTACTAAGTACTTACTATGTATCAGAAACAAGGTAGGTGTTAGGGATAGAAAGACAAAAATTAAACAGTTCCTGCCATCAAGGCATTTATGCTCTTTTAAGGAAAACAACATGTGCAGGAAACATGGTAAGGTAGAAAGAAAGTACATAAGATTTGAAGTTACAAGACCTGGGTTCAAATCCAAGTTCTGCCATTTATTACCTGAATGACCTGAGGCAAGTCACTGTGTCAGCCTTAATTTCCTAAACTGTAAAATGAGGGAACTGGACTGAATGGCCTCCGAGGTCCCAAACGTCTCTAAACATATGATTCTATTAGCTTGTGTGTGTGTGTGTGTGTGTGTGTGTGTGTGTGCGTGCACGCGCACGCTCACACAAAATAAATAGAAAGCCATTTGGAGAAAGGTCTTTACCATCACATGAATAAGGTACTAAATGAGCTGAGCTCTGAAAGAAACCTGGGATTCTACAGTGTCAGTGTGAGCAGTCAGTGCAATCCAGGCACAGAAGACAGTCAATGCAAAGGAGCAGGAAAAAAAAAAAAAGGCAGTGTCATATTAGGAACAAAGCAGCTAGTTTAACTGGACCACTAAGTGTGAAGAATAATGTATATTAAGTCCGGAAAGAGAGACTGGAACCAGGTTATGAAGACTTTAAATGACAAACAGCTAAGTTTGTATTTGATCTCCTACACGGATTGGGAATTACTAGAGTTTACTGAGTAGAGAATGACATTCTCAGAAATCTGTTTTAGGAATATGATTTTGGCAGCTCTGGGGGTTATGGACTAGAAGGAGGCAAGACTGGAGACACAGAAAACAATTAGAATATTACTGCAACGGTGCAAGCAAAAGGTGATAAGTTCCTGAATTAGGGTGGTATGAATAGAGAGAAGCAACATAACAAAGGTTATGGAGAGAGAATTAAAAAGATTTTGAAAGTAAATACATGGATGAAAGAGAATAAAAAGTCAAGGATCTCTCCAAGTTTACGTGAGAATAATGTATCATCTTATCCTCCTTAAAAAAATTATTACAAAGGAAATGGCACACATAAAATACAACAAATACTTATTAAGCACCCACGTGGTGCAAAGGACTGTGAAAGGCACTGAGTAATAAACTAAATTTAGTAAGACACAATCCCTGCCCTCACAATGCTTACAATTTAGTAAGGAAACTAGACACCAACCCAGGTAACTATAATGCCTAAAAAATGATAATGATATTAAAAATTTGTCATTCCCTCCCCTTGCATACAATGCAATGTATGTAGGTAAGTACAATACAAAGTGATCTGAAAAGGAAGAGAATACTAACAACTTGGACCATGTTATGGAAGATTTCATGGAAGAAGTGTCAGGTGAGCTAAGTCTTGAAGGAAGATAAGGTTTCTGAGAGGCTAAGAATGGGATGTATTGCTGGCAGAATTGACAAAATTTGCCAACTTATTGGATATGTGGGTTTAGTAAGAGTGGAAAGTTGAGTATGACACCAAGATTGGGAACTTGGCTGAATAAAGAGGTTGATATCTCAATAGAAAGAGGAAAGTTTGGAAGAGAATGGAGAGTTCTGTTTTGGTTACAGTGAGATTCCGATATCAATGGGATATCCACTTCAAAAGGTCCAAAAGGCAGTTTGTGATAATGGGAGCGAACTCAAGAGAAAAATTAGAGATTAACATTACAGATTTGAAAGCAATCTACTTAGACATGATAATTAAACCTGTGTAAGCTGAGGTCACTGATAGAATATAGAGAAAGAAATCAAAGGTCTGAAAACAGAGCCCTGATATACACCCAAAATTAGGGAATGTGACATGGATGATGACCCAACAAAGGAGACTGAGAAAGAAGTTCAACTAATTTCTTACAGAAATTTAATTAATATAAGTCTGTCATGACAATGAGATGAAAAGTGCCTAACCAATCACTTCAGCCAAAGAATGCTTAACCTCTTGAATGACTGTGAGCAGGCAAGAAGTATGAAGAAGCAGTGGAAAACCTCTTTGCTTGTGGAAGACTACAGGGATAAAAAATTACATATTCTGTTGGACTCAGGTTCATATGTTGGTTAGTTCTGCTAAGTTGCTTTTTTCTCTTTTAAAAAATTCATTTCTCTACGTAGAAAAAAGAGGAGATAGTGAGAAATCAAGATGACATAAACCAGAGATATCAATAATGATAAACTAAAGCAGTAGAAGGGAAGTAAACTATGATGACAAAAAGTTTGATACAAGAGACCCAATTAAGGCCAACGGTCCTAAGAGAATGTAGGAATGCAACTGGAAACATGACATAATAATATAATTTCCAATGAAGTGTAAAAAATCTGTTAAGATTTTTATAACACTTAACTTCATCCATGACAACGGAGCTGCCACTTTTGGACTCAACATTACTGTTCCTGATACACTACACAAGGAAGCAGAAAAGCTACAAAAGGAATGAAAGTACAGCTAATTTAGATCAGGTATATATAAAGGAGGTCTGTATTGGAGGCAATGCACTTTTGATGATGTTGAGAGATTTAAGATATGTAATTGAGAAGATTCCTAGAGAGGCTTAAAAATAAGACAAGTGACCAAAATGCCATACTTTATTGTTTATTTTTTTAAAAGAAAACAATCAAAAAATAAATATAACTCATATGCCTATATTTTCCCGTCTACAAATTTTTATGAGAATAAAGAACACGAATCAAAGACATCACTAATGCTGGCAAAAGATGGAAATAGGTACCCTTTCATAAATGATTGTCTATCACAGCAAAATCACTGACTGAAAGGTATGTTATTGTTGCTCAGTTGTTCAATTGTGTCCAATTCAAGACCCTATACCGTCCTGGAGTTTTCTTGGCAAAGATGCTGGACTGGCTTGCCAGTTCCTCCTCCAATGTATTAAGGGAAACAAAGGTTAAATGGCTTGCCAGCGTCACACAACTAATGAGTATCTGAGGCCGAATTTTTAACTCAAGTTGTCAAGGCTCAGCACTCTTATCCACCGAGCCACCTAGCTGCCTCCCAGCTGGTTGAAAGGTGTAAAGAATACAAAATTCCATAAAGTTTATTCTTTATTGACTATAAAAAGCATTTGATTTAGTAGAGCAAAACACTGACTCTGCTATTCTAACAAAGTATTTATACATGTATGTAAAGACAATCTTAAGATTTCTTTAAAGTTATAATTATTCCCTGATTTTTAATCACTGTTAACCAACTGTGACTGTCAATATCAAAAGAAGCATAAAACAGGAAGGCTGATGATGTTCATCAAATGTTTGCCCCCATTATGGAAGACTCCAGCACAGAGTCCAGATGGTGAGCTCTCCAAATGTTATTGTTTGCAAAACAAAACTATGTTAATTGAATTAAAACATTATAGAATCTCTTTAAATTAGATGCACAGTCATTCAGGAGTTTGGTATAGCTACTGATGCAGATTCCAATCCATTCTGAACGTAAAGTGCTCTGCAAATCTTAGTGCCACTAATCTATCAATCTATCTACATACATATTTATACACATAAATACACACACATATACACATATATACATGTGTATATTTGAGCTACTATCATGGGAAACTCTTAATGACCATGTCTACCAGACTTCTGTCTTCCTTATATACCAATAATCTTCCCCTAAGATTCTGGACAAATGTATGGATACCAATATATCAAAAAGACCTTTTATCATGTATCCTTTGTTTTCAGCACATTATTAGCCCATTTTGTTTTTCAGTCATACATCTCTGTGACATTCTTTACTCCTCTTGAGTACAGTACTTCCTTCACATGTATTACAACCTATACTCCTGCTCACCAGATGCTTCTGCATTGCTTTTTGGATGACTCTCAACTTTATTATCAGTTAAGCTCTTAGATGGAATCTAGTTAGTTACAAGGCCTGGGTGT